TGAATATCAATATGAATGTGAATATTAATGTGAATATGTACGCTAGAGGCTATAAAAACTCTGTATGTTAGGCTGGAATTAACAGCCAAGGCAATGCAGGCTTGTGCGTTTCCTTCTCTCTCTCTCGCTCTCTCTCTCTCTCTCTCACTCTTCTTCTAGAATTCATAATATTTAGTCTCATGTCCTAGATAATATCAGCTTTTGCTAAACTGAAATTTCATTTGATATTTTCAACATGTCCTGGAGTATAGAAAATATACAGGGCCGGATTAGTAGTTATTAGGTGGAATTGGTAGAATAGGTAGTTGCCTAGAAAAATGAAATCGAAGAAAGAAGGAAACGGACTTGAAAAAACGGGGGACCCGAATCGACGCTAGTCTAGGACAACAGTATAGGCTTAATTGTTTCCTATATCTAGAGGATATATGGCTATATAAGACCTATACGGTTATCCGTTTATAGCGATGCTCAAGGGACTGTCGCTATAACCGAAAGACGCTATAACCGTATAAGTTTGCTCATAAAGGTTTACCTAGGGACCCGAACCTTCGTCGCAATAGTCGTACAGGCGTTGTAAGTGGAGTCGTTCTAACCGGGTTCTAGATAATTGAGCCAAGTACAATGACGTTACAGGCTTTATAAGCTTCAATTCTATTTATATTTTGTGTGCGATAATACTGCTAATTTCTCTTGATAAAACGCATATATGACTTGTTTTCGAGACTATTTTTATAGATCTTAAAAGCTGACTTACATGTCAAAACATGTCCGCTTCATTTTTTGAATACCAATATCCAGTAAAACTAATCATTGAGCTAGGCTATTGTAAGAATTAACAAAAAATTATTTATAGTTTAAAGAGGACCTAAAGCTCTTTAAAACTATTGTAATGAATATTAAGTTATAGTGAAAAAAATGATGGGCTAGCAAGCGCGATTTTCCAGAAATTCCCTCAGCGTATGCATAAGTTCTATTAAATTTATATATGTACTCAAATATTATATTATCTCCATGTGTATATTTGTGACCAGGAACGCGCCGGGGTGTACGAGGAGCGTAGTCTAACCACGGAAACTGCCTCGTCCAGCCTGTTTGTGCCAACGCCATCGCCGATGGCGTCGCCGTCAACAAAGACTATGCAACTGACAACGCTATCGACTATCACA